CAGCTGTCCCAGCCGGACTGCCGCTGCTACCGCGTGGACGGCTACTCCCTGCTCAAGCGCCTGCCCCTGCACCCCCTCATAGGTCCCAGATGCCCGCTGCAGTCGGTGGGCCAGTGGCTGGACTCCATCGGCCTGGTCCAGTACGAGAACCACCTTCGTTTGACAGCCACTTTGCCCGCCACAACATGATGTGGCAGTGCCAGCTGTCCCAGCCGGACTGCCGCTGCTACCGCGTGGACGGCTACTCCCTGCTCAAGCGCCTGCCCCTGCACCCCCTCATAGGTCCCAGATGCCCGCTGCAGTCGGTGGGCCAGTGGCTGGACTCCATCGGCCTGGTCCAGTACGAGAACCACCTGCTGGCCAACGGCTTCGACAACGTCCAGTTCATGGTGAGTGGCGTTTTGCTCCGTCACCTGTATCCGCACGTTCGTCACTCGAAGTTGTCGGATTTCCTCTCCTTTGCGGCTCCCACGCGCGCCGAGCCGATGTCGCAGTCGCTCAGCGTTTCTTTTTAATTTTTAAAACCTTTTTAATGCTCCGCGGCCCCTGGAAATGAATAAACACGGCACGAAGTGGAAAAGCACCTGTTGCCTGCGGATGCTTGACGGCCGTGACGCGGAACCGGCGTTTCGGAGCAACACTCGTGAGACCAAATTGCCTTTCGCAGGAATTGATCTTGTTTTAAATCCAATTAGCACACGTAGAAGGAAATGAATGAGTCCATTTTTGAAAAGACAAAAGAGAATCTTGTTCCCGTGGCAACTGCAGGAAGCCCCCTTGCACGTGGACGGCGTACATGAGGCTACGCAACCTCCTCGTCTTTGTTGTCATGTCATCAGTGGCACATTGCGGCGATGGCGACCTTGTTTGCTTTACCACTAGGTGGCACTGTCTGTAATGTCCGAAGGTGCCACAAGATGACAGCAAAGCCCAGAAAATATTAATTGGTATCAAGGAAGTATGGTGAAGTGAACATCTTTGTAAGTTGGGGAGGCACTCGGTTTAGCCTGGGTTGTCGGTGGGAGTTACAAAATCCAATTACCTGGCGTCACTGGACCGAAACTTTAGACTGAGCTTCCTCTACACATTCACTTTTAGAAACACATTGATTTGTGCCGATCTGGACGTCTGCATCCTACCGTTTGAATTGCAACTTAATGTTTTTAATTTGTATTTTTCTCTCTTGGTCATTAGCGTGGTTAGTTTTAGCACTAGATAGAGATTAAAATGCATTTGTAGTGAAAAAGAGAAAAAAAAATCTCACAAATAACAGATACTGAAAAAAAAAAAGTCATCACAGTGAGAGTTACATGTCGCTTAGCAACCATTTCTCGTTAGCCCTCACCGCTAATTAGCCAAGGACATGAAAAAAGGTATCCTGAGGTCGCATGTAACAATATTCCAAATGCTCATCGCTCTCTTGATTGTCTGCCTCGCACGTTCGTGCCATCCAGCTCCATTCTGGTCTCAACACTCCAACACCGAGCAGGAATTTTTAATTTGGCGACTATAGTGACGATGACAGCCGAGCAGGAAACAACTCGTGAGATTGATGAACCAGTACACCCGTTGCATATCAAAGTAGCCCGCCAAAGCCCCCCCCCCCCACACACACACACACACACACACACTTCTCCTCCCCCCTGTAAATGCATCTCCCATATCAACCATGCATACTAATGAATCCTCTGGAACAATGAGAAATCCCTTTGAGTTCCCTGTACAGCCCCCAGAGGGCATAATACGATATGCTGCGATGCATTTACCCACTTCTTTCACAATCGAAAACCACTTCTACCCTCCCATAAAATAACATAATTAAATCCAAGAATGAAAAGAATGAATTTTGCTCACTCTGGTGTGCGCCTTGGCCACCTGGGGGCAGTACAAAACAGACTAGTAATTGTATACAGTACTGGAGGCTCAGTTCCTCTCTTTGCTTCTCAGTACGGCAGTAATATTCGCCCTTTGCAGAGGATAACGAATGTGCCTGTGAGTACTTAGTGCGCTCTTGGTGTTCAGATATCCGTTGCTTGAAGCAAGCTTTTTCAGTGTTCTTTTTTTTTGTTTGTTTTGTTTGTTTTTGCCAATTTTTTACACATTGCTCCATTAAATAAAGATAATGACATTCAGCCACTAGTTGGCACTTGCGCACAACTCGCGAATTTTTAGAGGGTATCGACGAGCGCGGAGCTGCATAATGAAGCGGTACCAGCGTGCTCGTCCTCACACAGAGAGCTTTAAAGTGGTCTGAGAAAAAAAAACGAAAGCTTTATATTAGTATCGAGTGCAAAATGTTTGCTCAATGTGAAGCACACGCTGTGCTAATATTGTGTGTGTGCGTGTGCGTGTGTGTGTGTGTGTGTGTGTGTGTTTGGCGCAGGGCAGCAACGTGGTGGAGGACCAGGACCTGCTGGAAATCGGCATCCTCAACTCGGCCCACAGACAGCGCCTCCTGCAGGCCATACGGCTCCTGCCCAGGGTGAGTCGTCGAGCCGCCAAGTGAAGCTCTTCGCACACTAAACTCCATAAAGTGTGCATGATAGCCTAATAAAGTTTGATGGTCTTACTTTTGGCTTTAAGTGCCCTCAAATGAAGTGGTAGACAAGTGTCGAATTTTGGGATAAGCAGATTTTATAGCAGCACTTGACTGCAGTCAGCACTTCCTTTCTTGTTGTGAGTAAGGCACTCACTGTCAGTTGGGACTATCCCTTACATGGCAGGTGCGACCAATCGGCTACGACGGCAACAACCCGACGTCGGTGGCCGAGTGGCTGGAGTCGCTGGAGCTGGGCGACTACACCAAGTCCTTCCTAGTCAATGGCTACACGTCCATGGAGCTGGTCAAGAAGATCTGGGAGATTGAGCTCATCAACGTGAGTCCACAATGTTTTCCCAAAACATCCTCGAATGGATCAAACCTTTGTCACGACTCGGTCTGGGATGCGCCGACGTCAAATCATTGCTGTTCTTGTGTGTCTATTTGCTTCTGGAATGCGTGTAACATTCCTGCGGCGTGGTGGTAGGTGGGGGGAAGGGGGGTTGTTGCTTGGTTCAGCGTTTGCCGAGGCAGCGCAGATGAAGTGATCAGCTGGAGGAGGTGCAGAGAGCCTCGTTATATAAGCATGTGGGCCGCAAGATGCTTCACAGCGTCAGGGATGCTGCCCACGTGCTGTGTGTGTGTGTGTGTGTGTGTGTGTGTGTGTGTGTGTGTGTGTGTGTGTGTGTGTGTGTGTGTGTGTGTGTGTGCGTGTGCGCATCTGTGGGGTGCATATGTGACACACAGAGAGTGCAAACGCACCCTGGCACTCTTCATGTACGTCTCGGGCAAGCGTGGAATTACATAAGTCTCATAAACCACATCATGGGAGTCTGATATACGAGGATAAAGTGAAAGGCTGGCTGCCTTCGAGAAATGTCCACAAGATGGCGCCGCTCACCCATCACATCAGGCTGTCACATTTTTCAATCTGGGGAGACTGAAATTTGCTTTGATTTTGGAGTAGAGCGAAAACAGGAAGTTGCACCTCAACGATCCTCAGTCTGGGATCTCTGAAAACTTTGCAGTACGTACAAATTCTGTGCTCGTGTTGTAATGAGCAACAAATAAATCCTGTTTTATTTTCAGGATCTTTCACGCCAAATGTGACCGAGATGATTTAAGTAAGCAGCACCACCTTGTGGACGTATCTTGGATGTGCCCGTCCTTTCAAAATAAGTGCAGTACTTTTATTTTGGAGCGGCGTGCAGGAGGGAAGTACAAAACAGCCTTTTCGCCCTAGTTATTTTGGAGTGGGATTTTTCCGCCTCTTGGCATGTGAAGGCCTGTTCTGTCTTTTTTGTGTGTGCGTGTGTGTGTCACTAACAGGACCCAACTTGTCGGACGCATTCCCGTCACACTTTTTTGACAAAGTGCATGCGCGTCCAAATATGTGCACAACTAAAGCCAGGACAGGCTTCCTCTCTGGCGCGGTGCTAGCCTGTTGCCATGACGACTGCTGGTTGCCGTAGTGACGTGGGACATGGTATGATAGCTGTTCATTGAAGTGCGCTGGTGTAAATGTGTGTGTGTGTGTGTGTGTGTGTGTGTGTGTGTGTGTGTGTGTGTGTGTGTGTGTGTGTGTGTGTGTGTGTGTACGTGCGTACCTGCATGACTCCGGGTGGCCCGGTGCCAGTGGTAGCGAGCAGCGTGTGTGCGCTTATCACCTTTTCTGTCAGGACTCCAAGTGGACAGATTGTGCGGCGTCCCGCTGCCAGATGGTTCCGGGCCTTAAATATAGACGGCGGGATCAAACCCGACCCGACGCTACCCGTCGTGGCGCACACTGCCGTCAAACCAGCACATTTTCCGACTTTGATTTTGTAAAGGATGGACTAGCCTGCATGCTCCCGTCAGTAACTATCATATACGGGATTATCAAACCACAAAAACTGACTGAGAAAGTAATTTCGAATGGCAAAATAAGAATTTTATTTCCAGACGTAAGAATGAAATATGTCATCCGGGACTTTGACTCATCGCATGGTTCAAGTTAAGCATCGGGTGGCTTTTTTTTTTTTACCTGCCGTTCATGTTGTATTTGTATGACTTCATTAAGCTGCCCATTGACATTCATCGATTCATTTTTTTGTCATTGTTGGATTGTGATATCGTTGGAAAACTATCGCAGCAAAATCAAGTTACCTTGCCGTCCCCGCTGATTGGTTACGCAAAGTACTTCCTTTGAGCAGTACGGCACTACATGACGCACGTATGACACATACGTTATTCTCTCCTCTTAAAACAAGGAGTTAACGTCACATGCAGAAGAAGTGACTCAAACATTTTTTTTTTTATACCTCCTACTAGGCACGCTTTGCCCCGTCAATCAACCTGCTGCATTGAATTGTGCCTTTTTTTCCCCCCCTTACGGGGCGATCGTGAATCACGTCGTGTCGTAGTAAGCTGACGGACGCCGTACGAGCGCCTGGCCCGCGTCGCCATGGTGATGAGATGGAGAGGAGGAGGGTAGTGAGGGAGAGAGAGGGGGAGAGAAAGAGAGAGAGAGAGATCAGGCAGAGACATGCAGGCGAGCTGCCGCAAGCTAAGAAGAAGAGAAGCTGCCGAACGAGAGGGAGAGGCGACGACGATAAGGAGAGCAAAGTGCGAGCGGACAAACCTGCCAGGACGACATCTTGAAGTTGGTGAGAGCTGATATGCTTTGTGGCCTTTTGTTGTTTGGCGCATCCTTATCGTGACGGCTGACTACGATGATTGAGTGTGTGTAAAGGCGACGAGTAGAGAGTGGAGG